CCACGCAACAAAGAGCCGTAAACGAAAAGGCGAAGAGGATTACCGGATGGCAGCGATGAGAAGAGAGAGCTGGGTAACAACACAACGGGCAAAAACGAAATAAGGAGGGGAGCATTTATGATAATCTCGCGAGGAAGCGCTATAGGCCTGCTGTTTGAAGCGAGATCGGTTTGCCTTATGTTGAATTCCAATGGCGGAGTCGGTGCAGCCGACCGACTTCGCGAGTGAGCACTCGACTCTGGCGTGGAGAAAATCCTCCAAATCCGCCATCGGAACAGAACCCGCCCTGCTGGAGCAAGGCGGAAGCTGCCGCGTTACCCAGGATACCTTGCGCGTGGTCTTTTCCGCTGTCTGTTTCCCACGTGGTTTACCAGCATCGCCGCATCGTTCGTTTGCTTGTTCAGCGCTATTCACCTGTGTGGAATGGATATCACGCCAAGCGTGCAACAGCTATTGTCCACGATGTCTGCTGTCGCTATCGAGTAGCAGAAGCATTGCCGCACGCTTTGCTGAGGTAGCCGGGCCGTCCATGCCGTCCGCCATTATCAACACAACTTGCGTAATGCTGGCGCGGCGCCAGCCGTGCCCCCAAGCAGGCAAACGTGTTAAAGGAAATGCGTCACGCTGAGTTCCGGTCCACTCCACCGATTTCGGCGGAGCAGTTTTTCCTGCTCCACGGAGGGACTCCCGATCTGAATCCCCTCCTGCTCTCTCATTGGAACTTTTGACTCTCGCTCTCACTCTGTCATTGGAACACACTTGCTCTGAAAGGAGCAGAAAAACTTGCTCCGACTCCGCCATTGGAATTCAACATTAGAATGTTTAGCTGTAACAAGATTTAGTAAAGAAGAAGAACAATGCACATGATGTGAGAAAAATGTAAGGAAACGACATAGAGTGTTCTGATAGAATGTGGAGGTAAACCCCCGCGCACGCGTGCCTACATGAACCCTCGAACTCTAGGTACAACAATGGAAAGCTGAGCACAGCGCGAAATAAGTAAGACACGGTTAGAGTATTGGTGGCAGAAAACTAGAGAGATAGAACGAAACTAAATATTGGCTAGAACAATGACATTCTGCCATAAAGACCGGACAAATGGTCTGCGAGTTTGCCTTTTTATATACAGTAAGATATTTTTTATCGAAGAAGGCAACTTAAGCACTTCAGGCAAGCTTTTAAAAAGGTTACCCTTTTTTGACAAGCCTGGTGGTACACATGTCACCATCCCGTTATAAAATCAATCATTCACCCGTCCGTCCGTCCATGCATCCATCCATTCACTGCGCTACGTATTATTTTGTGGCCGACTGTATATTCGTTGTGATTGGCCGTATGACCAACTAATTTTTTTTTTCAGAGTTGAATTTCTCTTTATTTTCTTTTGTTCGATGGGACTATGCATTGTTGTTTTTCAGAAGAAAACAAGTCGCCGCTCTTTGATTTTCACCACGTCTGTAAGGACCGCAGCTGGAGGCAAGTGCGTCCCAGAGGCGCAATGATTACAAAAATAAAACAGGAAGTTCAAGATAAATCATTCACATTTCATCAAGCGTAATTACACATAACACGTAAAATTTGTAACAATTTTATATACCTGATAGGACCCAAGCAAGTGATAATATATTCAGGTGTTTTACCTCCCAGAATCACCTGTTTTTCTGTTTTTTTTTGCGTGCACTAAATATCCCTGCTTACGGGCCTGTATATCATTTCGCCTCCATCGAAATGCGACCGCGCTGCCGGGGTCGAACCCATGACCTCTGGGGCCCTAGTAAATGATCGCACAATGTGGGTACGCGTGCGCACTCCTCTCGACTTGAGCAACACACCCATCGTTTTCTGTACTATCGTTCTAAAATTGTTCAAAACTTATAGCTACGTAAGCACAAAGTGTAAGCACTCGATAAGTGTCAGCTGTCGCCTTATGCCGCATATTCAGCCGATTGTAAAGAAAGCCTAAAGTGTTGATCATAAACTGTTACAATCTTAACTGTGGAATATAAAACAATCTATGAAAAGTAAAACGACCTCGATATTTCATATAAGTGTAGTCGTCTGCTGTCAAGAGCGTATAGCTTTGGCCGCGCGATCTCCACTGCAATGCTCTCGACAGCAGACGGCGTACACCGCTAGGTGGCAGTACAGGAACACGCCACGCAACAAAGAGCCTTAAACGAAAAGGCGAAGAGGATTTACAGGATGGCAGCGATGAAGAAGAGAGCTGGGTAACAACACAACGGGCAAAAACGAAATAAGGAGGGGAGCATTTTATGATAACTCTCGAGGAAGCGCTATAGGCCTGCTGTTTGAAGCGAGATCGGTTTGCCTTATGTTGAATTCCAATGGCGGAGTCGGTGCAGCCGACCGACTTCGCGAGTGAGCACTCGACTCTGGCGTGGAGAAAATCCTCCAAATCCGCCATCGGAACAGAACCCGCCCTGCTGGAGCAAGGCGGAAGCTGCCGCGTTACCCAGGATACCTTGCGCGTGGTCTTTTCCGCTGTCTGTTTCCCACGTGGTTTACCAGCATCGCCGCATCGTTCGTTTGCTTGTTCAGCGCTAT